GTGTGTGTGTGTGTGTGTGTGTGTGTGTGTGTGTGTGTGTGTGTGTGTTTAAAATATCTCATAAACTACTGCATGAATTTTAATGAAACTTCATCTGTAACTGATTAACCTTTGGAGCCACCCCAATTAAAGACGGCTGCCACACCCATCCGATCTCAGAAATCACAAAAATGACGGCAACTTCTTCCGTTTTACAGATCTTGAGCTAAAATGTGATTTGGTTGATTTAATCACGACGCACACTCTGAGCTTTGTTGTTATGGCTTGACCAGCATCTGTCTTCTTAGTCTCCAGCTCTGGATGATATGTTTTACAGCTTTAAAATAAGATGATTTATAACATTGCTGTGGGATTTTTAAAATTTGAAAGAAATCAACAAAATTTGAGTCTTTTTAAAAAGTCAAACCCATCTTCTATGTAGCATTTATGGTTTAAAATTTCCAACCTTTCAGTAAAAAAGGAAAGTTTTGTAAATTAATCCCAAATTCTGTTAAAAAAAATGTGTGAAAAATTTATTTCGGAAACAAAGTTGTAAGCAGCATATGTTATCTATTTTGAAGCCATCACCTTCAAAACTTCATTTATCATGTATCTAATATAATAATAAACATGATCCCTTTATCTATTTGATGCATTTATGAAAACAGGAAATCTTGGTTCTCACCACTGAGACGTAAAGACTCCATAAAACACCGTGTTCTTCCAGTCCTCCGGGCTTGGCGTGAGCACAAACATGTCTTGGATTATGTTGAAGGGAAAGCCGTCATCGGGCAGCGAGCACAAGAGCTGCGCCTTCAGGAAAGTGGTCCACTTCTTCTGCAGCACCCTCTCACCGCCGACGTCACCCTGCAGCGTCAGAGGTGTGGAGCCAGTTGAACACAAAACCAGTAGAGGGTGCAAGATGACCAAATATAGACTTTATTATATACGGTACACTGTTTAATTAACATGTTTGATGTCATGGCGTCTGACAGGCTTGTTTCACATCATGAAAGATAAAAAAAAACACGGCATATGCTAAATGTTCTTCATCTTTTCCATGATGAAAACAAATGTGCCCACGTTTGTCAGACAGATACACCCCGAGGCAGAACACTTCTAGGTCATGGAAACAATAAACTAAGGGCCCAGAAGAAGGCAAGTGCTTTTTAATGAAGGGGGTGGGGATCATTGCCCCTAACTGTTACGTTTTTCACCGACATCACTGCTGTGATCCAGCGCCTGTGGCACGAGCCTTTAAAGAGCTCCGAGGGGCACGAGGGACCCCCCGCTGACACGAGGACTAATTTAGCTTACACAGATTGAGTGGCGAGATATATCGGCACAAATTGGGAGGACATCTTTAAGCCTCAGAGTGAAAGTGCTTGTATGAGATGTGTTTAAAACAGATTATSTTACACAGAGGAGCTCAGACTGAATGACCACACGGATCCAGCAAAATGACAGGGCAGYGATTTAATGACGTGCTGATCAGATTAAAAAAAAAGAGACCTAGCATTCATTGAAGGAATGCTGCCACTTTGGTCAGACCTGTGTGTGTTTGTGGAAAATGACTCTACCACTTCAAACTTTAGCTCCATTTAGGTCTTTTTGTGTTATGGTCACCATCTTGAATTTAGTTGATGTCAACTGTTACTGAACTAAACTAAAGTCGCCCCCTTGTCCCTCACCCTTCGCTCCCGGGCTTTGGGCCTCTTAAGGAATAGTGGGTCCTCACAAGTTTGTATATTACAAGGTTACAATTGCTAGAACACACACAGATAAGGGACAAAATGTATTTGAGTTGCYAATAATACTAAAGATGTAAAACCTGAGCTCAGTCTTCTTCAGTGTAACCTCACTGCAGCAGTGACACGTGACCAATACTGAGCTTCTGAAGCAATTACTTCTTGTAGAAAACCCAGACAGATAATGAGGAACATACATATTCTCTTGTCCTTCTGGCTAAGCCTAGTTTTGTAATTTAATGCCACTCTGAGCCTAAACTGACTGCAGAATAATTGAAGTAAAATGCATTCATTAATCGCTTGTAAAAGCAGGCCTTGTTCTAAAAGCCACAAACATGGCCGACAGTAATGTCCGCTTTCTGAGAACAAGCTTTAGATGAGAACATGTTTTGATTTGTTTGTTCCAGACAGGGAGAAAAAAAACATTGTTTATCCTTCTGATTCAGAGCTAAAGTACCCTAATATACACAACAAAAAGTACACAGAAAGTCAAACGTGATCATTTAACTCCAGCCCTCTATGAGGTGCATGACTCAGTATTTACTCTGAAATCAGTGATTAATTCGATCATCATCAACAAACAGGACCATTTACTGAGTATTTGCGTTATTGCCCGATACAGTTTCATTTAACTTCTGTTCGAGGCACATTGCTAATTTACTCATGGGTAATTATACTAGAATAATTCATACTGAGCAATTTTAATTTACCCATATGTGAAAACCTCAGCCTACAAAGAGCTACATGAGTCAGTATTTACATGAATCTGTTAGGTAGAGTGTTTGGTGTGAAAAGACGAAGACAATTCACCCACTGATGGTGAAACAAACTCCTGATTCACAACTGGGTTTGTTTCACAACACGTCTTCCGTCTGGTAACTCGTATTTGTCACTCTTAAATAAAAGGAGTGTTCCTTGGAGAAATTAATATCTCCCACAGTTTTGTCCCAAAACAGCAAATTGAGTCATCAAGCAGAAGATCGTGGGCTGCCCTCTATTATGTTGCACATCTGGAGTGTTTTTAACCTTGAAATTATTACTTTTTTTGTACAATAATCCTGTTTAAATGTGTCCTTCTTATGCCATGTAGTCTGTTTTTACCTTTTATACTGTTTTTACTTTTTATACGGTTTTACTTTTTCACTCGAGGAAGCAAACCCAAATTCCAATGTACTCTGGTGCAAAACAATAAAGCCTATTCTATTCTATTCTATTCTATTCTATTCTATTCTATTCTATTCTATTCTATTCTATTCTATTCTATTCTATTCTATTCTATTCTATGCTATTCTATGATCATCTTCTGATAAAAATAGCTGCAGATAAAACTGTATAGGTTCAAATTTGTAAATGACGTTTTTGCACGAGCAAAAAAAGAGTTAGAGCTCAAAGTGTGTGTTGAACATGACTCTCAGCTACTACCACACCAAACTTTAGCTAAATATCTGTAAGTTTGACTGAGTTACAAGGTAATTAGACAAATATCCTGTGAAGTAAGCTTTTTTTCAGGAAGTTAAAAAAATAAAAATCAACTTAGTCCATTTGAATCYGAGCAGTTCTGSCTGGTTTCTAAATCCAGATCTGCGRACAAATATTTGTTWAGAGCTAAGAGAGAGGATTTGGAAACAAAGACTCAAACAAAATGGACAGATAAGAGCGAAACGTTTTCTAATCTATGAGCTACGCATTTAAGCTGAAATCAGCTTTCAGAAGACGACGTGTGCATCTGTAGAAGCACAAACACACAGGAAAGAGGAAACCAAACAAACGAGACTTGTATAGATGCTGTAGGGGGAGACTTCTCTACGGCGTCTGTGGACTATCTGGCATCACTCACCTTACACACACGAGCGATGCGTGACACGACGGTGTTGTCAAAGAAATCAAACTCCTTCCCCGCTTCGCTGAAGAAGAAGTAAATCTTATCGTCGTCGCCCACGAGGTTGCCCTTGGGCAGGCTCTCCTGTATGTAAGCAGAGCCAACAAAGGCCGGGTCTGAAAGGAAAGTAACAATACTATCACGCCGCTATCCGGGAACTGACATCCCTACTGCTGAATGGAATCCTCTCACAACACAGATCACAGGTAAACACTCTCATGGTGTTATAATGTAGACAAACAACACACTAAAGCTGACATTAATCCGGTCTAAGATTAGATGGCAACTCATACACGGAAAGGCTCATGTCAGAAAAATCTTTGTTTTTCAGTCCAGTACCTTGAAGCCAGTTGAGAGAGTTTTCCGTTTTCAGAGCAGTGCCTTGGCTCAGACTCTTGTAAATGATGGGTTCATTCCCTTGGAAATTACTGACGGTGCCGGCATAAAGCTCTCCACCTGCAGCAAAGAGACGAAGGCAAAGCATTGTCACAAAATGTATCACGAGCTGCAACAAAATGTAAAAGCTATGTTGCAATTTGTTCAACACCAATTCCAAAAAAAACGTTGTGACATTGTGGAAAACATAGAAACAAGAACAGAATGCAGTTATTAGCAAATCCTATAAACCCATATTTTCTTCACACTTGAACATAGTAGACATATCAAATATGTAAATTAAGCCAATTGTATGATTTTCTAGAAACATTTAGACTTTTATGACAACACATCCCAAATAAAAATGGGACAGGAGAAACAATGTAAAAGTAAATGGTACAAAAAAAAAAAAACAGCTGAGGGAGGATTTTGCAACTTCTTAGTGTACTTGCAACAAGTCCATAAGAACTGGATATAAAATGTGAATTTTTAGGGAAGTAAAGATTGACAGCAGTTCATCTGTCTTTAAAAATAGTGGAACAATATCAGAGTAATGTTCCTTCAAGTCAGTACTGGATTCTGTTCTGGACATCACTGGGTGGACTCAAGAATATCACGCCATCTGCAAATGTTGAATAATTAAAGCTCTATTCAAAAAATATATCTGTATTGAAATGTAAAATTATTTTTGGAAACCGCACGGTCTCTGTACTAAGGAGGAGAGGGACCATCCAGTTTGTTATCAGTGCACAGTTCAAAAGCCTGCCTCTCTGATGGTATGGGGGTGCATTAGTGCCTCTGGCATGGGCAGCTTATGCATCTGTCCATGATGAAAGTATAAACAGGTTTGAGATCAACTGATCCAAAAATCAGGCTAAAATGAACAAGGATTGTTGAACAGCTAGAAKCCGATCTAATTTAAGAACGGGACAATATTTCTCTCCAAAACCTCAAGAAATTATCTCCCCAGCTCCTAAACGCTCCATTATTAAAAGACGGCGATGCTTCGCGGTGAGCTCATTGTAAATGTAATACTGGTTTATGGAGGTTTGTAAATCAATAGATTCCATTTTATTTTTATGTTTTACACAACGTGCTAACATTTTCAGATTTGGGGGGGGTGTTTATGAGTTCATCATCTTCACAGACTTACTGCACTGCTCCTCATCTTCAACACAGCGTGRACATAAAACCTAACCATCAAACCTCTCAGACCTACCAGCCATGATGGCCGTCGACTTGTACTCAGGGTTGAACGGGCAGCGGCTGCGTCCATCCTCTGTCCAAATCTCACCAGCGTTGCTTTTGGCAAAGGAGAAGTCAGAGGTTTTCTGAAGGACACACACACACACTAGATGTGACAACGTGACTTAGATTACAGCTGAGCTGACAGTCAGGCTGTGGGGAAAAAGAAGATGGTCTGGTTTTTGTCTTTGGTTAAAGTTGAAGCACAGGTCATCTGTTTGTTTTTATGCATTGATCTTAAAAGGCTTTAAAAGATTTCCAGAAATGGACTGAAAACCAGATTGATTTTGATGTAATCCGATTAGATGCATTAAATATTTTGATTCTTTCCCTGCGAGCACCGGGATAACAAAATAATGCGCTGATATTGTATTTGCGTGAGACAGACTGCTAATGGAGTTGAGAGGCAGGGAGTGGCGTTCTCCTTCCTCTGGAATCAAATAAAAGAAATTTCAGGAGAAGAAAAAAGTTCATCGTAGGGGTAATCAACTTTTGACCCTCACAAAAAACAAACCATGAACGAGCTCTGGTCACTGTCACAGATTTTTCTGTGGAGACTCACAATGTAGGCACAGATGGGGCTGAAGGCATACGTTCCACACACGTACAGATGAGTGCTGTTCATACGCAGTAAGATCTTGATGTAGTTGAAACAATCCTTCTGTAGCAAAAACACAAAAATGAGAATTTTATGAAATTACTTGTAATTATCTTCACATGAAACATGAAAAAAAATATTTGTTTGCATCTTACTTAAAAAAAGGCAGGGGAAAAAAAGATAAGGAAAAGCAAAAATGCTTTGTGGGAAATGTGTTAGAAGTGGGGTTCTGGAGATGTTATGAGCTAAGGTCAAAGAAGATAGCTGCTGTTAAATACTTTTTGCTGAAATAACTATGTAGTGCAAAGGTGATGATGGGCTATTCAACTAATAATAACAACGGTACGGAAAACACTCCATTATGGGAAATAAGTGTTAAATTTGTTTATTTTATTGCACTGAATTTTGAATTGGAATTTCAAATTAAGCAAATAAAATAATTAAGCAAAAATTTTTTTGGGTCGGGGGGCTTAATTGGCAGGCTGGACAGAAGTCACCTTTGGGCTGGATCTGACCCCCAAGCTGCCAGTTGAACGGTCCTGATGTAAATTTTTAACATCTGTCTCTCACTGGTCTGTGATTGTTTAGAGACAAAACTGTAAAAGAACATTTGTGCGTTTTTGCTTGGACTCAGAGTATAACGGCGCTTGTTTACTAGGGCCACAACAGTACATGTATCTGTATTGAACCGTTCAATACACACTATGTATCAAACAATACAGATTTCTAAAATTTATTTTATCAGCTTGTCTTCTGAAGATGCTCTGTGTTAAAGGATCATTGGATCTGTGTTCAACTACTCCACCTAGGCTGCACTGTCGAGCGCAGATCCACCGAGGAACTCGCTGTTTCAGCAACATTTAATTAAAAAACTGTTCATTTGACGTTTAACTAATGTTCATAATTAATTTAAATAAATTACAAGTTATAAAGGGCATGGAAATGTCTCTTTTTTTCGTATCAAAAATATACTGAACCGTGACACTAAAGTACCGAACCAAATCGTGAATTTTCTGTATCGTTGCACCCCTGTTGTTTACGTAACTTTGTAGAAATCGCAACTTTTGCATGAAATTCCTGTAAATATCAGGCAAATATGTTTATTGCAGCTTGGTCACCAAGTTTCCTAATTTTGTCTCAGTTTTGTTGCAACACTTTACTCACTCGTAATTTGGCTTCATAAGTTGCAAAATCCTCTCAAGTTTCTCACATCTTCTGACTCTTGGAAACTAAATGAAGAATTGTTTTGAGGCATTTTGGAAACTCGTGTTTGCGACTTATCACCAAAAACAATGACAAGTAGGCTAAAGCACTGAGAAAAATGTTTAGACTTGGGTTGTTTTGTCCAGGAAAACAACACGTCAGTCCTTCAGAACTGAAGCATCCAAGCCATCAAGCCTTCCACAACAAGGAAGATATTCATTTAATATTTTAATTGCCCATCTAAAAAAAAAAAAACATTTTTAAGCATTTTTTTAACTGCATACTTTGAAAACAGCTCCAGCTCCTGGTGCTAAAGTGCTTCAGAGTTAGAAAAGTACTTGACTGCGAGTGAGTAATGTGACAAAAGAAAGGGTATAATGGAGGAAAAGAGTCCTTGACAGGAAGGGAAAAATCCATTGTTTTAAAATGGAAGACAGGAAATGTTCTGTTTTCTAAATGATCCAACAGAAAAAGCAAGCCTGAACTCATGATGTGAGWCCAGGTTCTTTAAACCAGCAGGTGACTCGCCTGAAGATCTTTGCCTTTGAAACTGCACTCCTCTCTCTTCGTCTCTGGAGTTTTCCAAGTTAGCTGCAGGAGAGAGAGAGGAAAAAAAAAACAAGAACACTATAAAACTCTGAATAATAAACTCACATTGGACTTTAGGTATTGTATTGTATTTATGACTAAACTGCCTAAGAATTCAAATAACTAATAATATCTATTCAGTCTAAATGAAAGAGCTGTTTAAAGCTCCAGCTCTTACATTTCTCTGTAGTTTGGCGGCGCTGATATCAGAGAGGTTGAGAGCAACGAGAACCTCCCGGGCGCCCACATACAGCATGTTGTCTTCACTGCTGAGAAGGAGGGAGGTAAAGTTGAAGACCCCGCTGGCTGAGAAGCTTCTGGTCGTTCTTTCCTTTGCATCTGAACGGAAAARGAACATAAAATATTAATGGGTCCGTCCCAAATGATTAGTGAACATCATTCAGTTCAATACATACATTGTTGCAGAATCAACTGCTCGAATGTGCAAACATGGATTTTGAAAATGCTTTTTTTGTTCTCTGTTTTTATAGAATAAAAAGCTGAAACTGACAAGCAGTTATTTGTTTTATGACATAAGCATTGACGTAAACTATAATCAGTGAATGAGGTAAAGGTGAAATTATCACGTCTCCTAATCTCTGCTGCTGTTGCTCTGCAGGCCCACATGTGTCTGAGTTCTGCAGCTGCCTGCAGACCCAGCTTGAACAGTTTTTCCTCTAACTGCACGTCGGCACAAACAGCAGCGAGCCAATGGAAACTTGACATGACTGAAGCTGTGATTCAGGACCTCTGACCCTAAAACGTGATGACTCGGGCGGGGGGGAATAACAGATCAAAAGATTTGTTTATTTAACTTTGGAACTGCTAACATTACATGAAAAGGAAAATCTTTTTACTAATGCATTTGGGACTGAATATTTACTGGAGTGGCAGGGGGATACTAAGTATTTTTTAATTGAAATTAATAAAAAAAAAGGAAGAAGAAACTGTTGCAAATTTAGCATAAACACAAACACTTTGTGGGAGTTCCAGCTAAAGTGAGAAGCTGAAACATACAGACTCAGAAACACAACACTTTTACATTTATTCTTTTAATTTCTTACTTCAGTACTTTTAAAGCTGTGTTATTTACTAAATGTTCTCACTGCAATATCAACGAGACCAGTTAAAAAAAGAAAAAAATAATAACAGCTGCTGACTATTCATTTGTGAGCAGAATTTGTGGACGGCTGCCAGCACCGTGTGTTTGTTTACCTACAGAAACAGCTGAAGTTAAGCAGGTCAACAACAACAACGTTTGTGGAAGAGTCATTTGTGATTAAGAAATCCAACTGTTCTCATGCGTTGGTAAGTGTTTATACTAGACTTGTTGAGTAAAGTATGCGGAAAAAAGTGCATTGTTTACATTGAGTGCATGCCCACATTTTTTCTGAACTGCTTATCTGTAAAACTAGGAAACAGTTTTAAACGGCACCATTTGATATAATTCAGAATAGCCTTTTTTATGTTTGCTTTCATAGTTTGCAATGCGTAGTGCACAAAACGACAAGCTTGCATTAAACTTTTAAAAACGTCATGAATGCTGTAAGGCTGAAAAAATAAACTCATGGAAACCATAAAACTAAATGTAGCAAAATAGAAAAAAATCAGTTTTGCCCCCAGTGCTGAGGGTGTGTGGCTTAAGAGGTTAATTCTTTGTAACATCTTGGCAAATTAATAAATGTCTGATTTATAAACCATTAATAATTACTTAATAAAGGTGCTCTTATTGACCACCTCCACTGCGAGCTGGAAAACGTGCAAAACAGTGTTGTCACCTGACCTGACCTGATGGAGAAGAAAGTTGAGCAGACAGAACCTGGGCTAAAACCCACACATGCTGGTGGAACGACGACACTTTCAAACTAATGGAGCTCAGGTAGAGCTGATTAGAAAGTGCAGTCAGGATGACCTAAGATAACCTCATCTCAGTGCCGCAGCAGGTTAAGAGACTTCCTCTCCCTCGGGAAAACAACATGCTAATAGCGGTCCTTTGCCACAGCAACCGCGGAGCGTTTTGTACCTAAATCTGTCTGTAAAACCACAAGAGGCTCCGCTCTCCGTTCTGCACACCAACCCACCGGGACCGCTGTCTCTGCAGGATAAATGGACTGCTGCTCTCACGTTGGTACCGTACCCCCCCCCCCCCCCCMMACACACACACACACACACATACACATATACACACAAACAAACCTTTGGCAAGTTTAACCATGTATGATTTATGGACAGAGACACGCAGAGGCCGACGATTGAACCGAAACAAAAGCTCTGATCAATTTTCCTGAGGAGAGATATCTGCAAAATGATTGTCTGGAGTCAAACGTATAAAGCACAGTGGACAGAGGAACAATGGGACCAGGGTTTGGGCATCATTAAGGAGATGCAGGAGCCAACTGGGCTGAGCTTTACTTTCATTATTTCAGGGAGAAGCATTGTTCAAAGTGCACTAAAACATCACTGCACTGGAAAGTCTGCATCAAAGACGCTTTTAATTTCTTAAAATGCATTCATTTTATGTAAAAATATCTAATTAACACTAATACGTGGACAGTTTCTGTCACAACAGGACAAAAACATCTAAACTCTCCTTCACTCCCTTTTTTTAATTAAAAAAAAAATTTGTGGTACTTTTCATGACAGTTCAGCTCCACAAATGGTAACATCKGTGTTGCAGCTTGTGTTTGTGGCAGAAATAATCGTTGCAGCTTTTTTTTTTGTCTTTTTTCCAAAAGGAAGGGCACAAAATTTAGACGTGCACGTCACGGTTCAAGAAGATAAAATGAATGTAACCAGGAATTCGGTGGACATATGGAAATAAAACAGCCTGGTTATCCTGCTATCACTTGTTAGCATGCTTAGCTATGAGCTGTGTAATATTGGAAGTAATATGGGAGGGCAGAGGGACAAATTATCATGACTTGTCCCCCTATCTCCCTCCTATGAACACTCTCTGAGTCAAAGACGTCCACTGCCTGTAGAATACATCAGTTTTACCCAGAATTAGTTTCTATTGCAGGAAAAAGTCGGAATAAAAGCTGAAGTCAGAGGATTTTCATCTTAAAAACACTCCAGCAAAGAAAAAAACACCCCGTTTTTCCCATCTGTTTTAATTTCTTTGGGATTTTAGAACAATTTTAAAACCTTTCCTGACATCACATCCTTACACAAAGTCATAAAGAAACAACCTTCTGTCCGGCTGAAGCCGGCGGGCGGAGCTGGAGGTGTCACACCTCATCACGCCGCYGATAAGAAACCTCTGATCCTGCAGCTCTGTGTGGTTAAAGCACTTCAGCCGTGACCCCTTTTTTTTTTATAACCACATGAACTGCATCCACTTTGGTTCAACCTCTGACAGCTGTAAGCAATACACCATYGCAGCCGTTATTATGTTATTAAAAGTAATTCCTGCAAACGACTCTGCTAAATGGCCTCAGACTGACTTGCTAATCTGTTTAGGGAAGAAATTAATTATGTTGAGCTTAAAAGAATCCAACATTATTACTGATGAGTCAAAATAATAATAATAAAAGCGCAGAACATCCCCTCCTGGAAGGGAAGTGTAAAGTATTTTTGTCTTTTACTGACATGGATCCAAATAGTTTTCTTTGAAGAGACATATGAAGCAAATCTTCTTTAATCACTTCTTCCTGCTCTAAGGACTAAAACTGTAAAAATGACCATAAAAACCCTCTTTTTGACGGTTTCAGCTTCTTCTTAGCAAACACAGATTCTACAGTAAATAATTGTCAAAAGTAATCAATTTGCTCTGTCACTAGAAAGGGACCCTGAAAAAAACTGCCCCGTCTCCGAAAATTTTACCATAGATCATCTTTAAAGAATGCCAGATGTCTCGTTTCCAGTCCTCTGACCACAAACACGACCCACATTCTCAATGARCGCTCACAAATAATAGAGCTTCAGAAGTAAGAGTTGCGTTTTAAACAAGGTCAAACATACCTTTTTATTTAAAAGAAACGAACATGCAGAGACACAAATTTAACCCTAAACTCTGCTGTAGTGCAACACAGCAAGCCTTTCAGCTAATGAAGCAGAGAGCACCGAGACAGGAAGCCGCAGTGTCAGCAGGGGTCAAACTGTAGCGTTGGTTGCATAGTCTGTATGATCAAAACAGAAAAAAAGAGCCCGCACTTAAACGATAACTAGATTATCACCAAAACTAGCTATTGTGGAGCCGCGGCTGAATGGGTGATTGTGTGGAGAGCTGCAGGACAGAAGGSCGAAGCATCTGGAGAGCATTAAAGYCAACTGGTGGAGCGGCTCGGCCCAAATGATTTAAAGGAAGCTGCAGGCCGGCTGTTTRTGTTGGTAAACTGTTAGTAAGAGATTTGTGCTCGTTCTGAATGACTCGAGGAGTGCCATCGCTGAGGGTAATTCAGACAGCAGGGATCAGTATTAATGAGCTTCAGTTTTATAGTGTGGAACACCAGGAAGCTGGTTAATCTGTAAACATTTTACAACTCTTTCCTCTTGTAATTTGCAAAAAAAAAAAAAGTTGTATTTCTCAACTCAGAATGGTGGCTTTCTCATGAGAGTGCTGATAAAGCAGACTTCATTCATTTAGAGARTAAAAATGCTGAGTTAAGTAACATCTCTTGAAGACGTGCATGTTACTCACCACTTCCTGTCAGCAGCTACAGTTTGTTTACATGGACATAATCGGAATAAATGGCCACTCAGAATAAAAACGTGTCACCTCAGTTTAAAGGTGGTTTATGCGGATTGATAATCCAAACACAATGCTATTTTCTAATTTACCAAACTGTGCCCATCTTAGCGTTAGCATTCACACTTTACACATTTGTTATTCATTTTTATGAACTCCAAAAAGAAAATAGATCAGGAAAAAAAGGTAGAATTTGGTTGAAAAGTAAAGAAAAACCTAAAACAGACTCTTTGTTTTGAGGTGTCAYGATTTAATATGTTTTATGGTCGTGTCATGAAGTAAAAGCAGAAACATTTGGGCTGTTAAAAAGGTATTTCAGGTGGTTCAGGAACAGACTCTTCTCAGAGAGACAATAAATCAATTTGGGGTAAACGTTGCAGACACTTAGGGGCAGAAGAAAGTGTGTAGCTAATACTGAAAAAAAAAAACTGAATTGAAAACCCAAACATATTGAATCAGTTGATTAATAATAAAAGAAAGCAAGAAATCTTACCATTAAAATAAAGTCATTTTTGTCCCTCGATTATCAAATCTTCACTTTAAGACAGATGCTGTCATCACACCGAATGAAATAAGAAGTTTGGTGAATCAAAAACTGCATTTTTACAACAGTCACTGATTTGTTTCTTTGTTTTTCTGAAATTTTGTGTTTCAAGTTCTAGAAGTCCTTCAGACACGGCCTTAAAAAGTTGTATCACTTGTCRTTCTGAGTTACTTCAGGGCGGCAGATTCTCATGTGGACATGACAACTTTTAAATAATTCAAAATGTCTTTCTCCTTTTGTAGCTGAGGAGATCAACAGGGCTTATAGCTGCGCCTTTTTTAAAAAAAAGGTGGTCCAACACGTGAAAACCCTTCAGCGTGGTCCGTGTTAAAGCCTCGAACAAAGAGCCAAGAGAAAGGCAGATGTTTTACTCCCTGAAACCCCAGTGATCCGTCCTGATAGGCGCATAATGAGAACCAGACAAGTGTTCACACCATAACACATACAAGTCCCCATTCATTATTCATGGCAGATTACCCTCTTCATTAAGGCGGAGGCAGGGACCAGAGCAGCGAGAGGCARGAGGAGGGGACGTTAGTCTGCGAGAAATGTCGCCGGATGAAGACGAGCCGGCCCCGAGCTYTGACCTGCGAACGCTGCAGAAGTTTCAACCGCCGCGGTCCGTGGCGCTCTGACGGGACGGAGGCTGCAGGAAACCGCAACAAGACAAGACGGGCTGCTGCTGCTGCACAAAGTTCACGTCCCTGAGGGGCTGTAGTTCTGCATTTTGTTGTGAAACTGTATACACAATGTGACAAAGCTTTTCTGCGGAAGGCTGGAAAACGTCAGGGAAGCAGAAGTGATGCGACCGCGGCACGCAAGCTAACCAGAGTCTGCTGACCTCCATCAAATGTAGCTGAAGTTTCAACATGAAACTGCTGAACAMTAATGTCTTTTAGGCAGTCTTCATATTTTGGGACTCAACGTTCATTGGAGGTCTGTGGAAAGGTTAGAAACAATGAGCCTAATTTTAGTTTTCATACAAAGAATGAACCTAATAATAAATAATCCAAGCTTGAAATTCAACTTCAGTCTCAAGGATTTCAAAGTGTTTCATGCTAACTTTAAATTATACAGATTGAAGTTCACATCATACAGTTAATCTAAGAGAAATATTACAATAATCCTGCTAAAAAAGCCTCAGGCTGCGACAGAAATGACAGTTATCTGATGCATTTATTACAGATGGATTTAATGTAAATAATCCCTGTAATGATGACGTATCAGTTTATGAAACAGCAGTTTTATGAACTTTRACAAAGGAGAGTCAAACTTGCATAGGGCCCCAACCTAAAAAGATGAGGTCCTAATCAAGTGTAAATTTTGACCACTTATTATTGAAAATTAAAACAAATTACCATAGTTGTCAAAAGTAATGTAACATTTTTTAAATGTAGAAATAGCAACTGTATGTCTAAAGACAGATTTTGTTAAATTTAGAGCAAACACGATTTAATGATTTTAAAAGCGATCAGATTAGCATTTCAATTTTATACCTAGCTCTTTATAATCAGTTTTTCATTTAATAGTTWAGTTAGTTAGTTAGTTATTTTTATTAATCCATCCTGTAATAATGTGAGCTGAGGTTAAGAGTTATTTAAACAAAAAGTTTATGACCAGTTTTACATATGTACTTCGTTGCATGATCACATCAAGCTCAAAGGTTAATGTTCTTGGTGTCACAGCTGATTATAACTGCTGTGAGAAGTTTGCATTACTTTTGCATTGTTGAAGACAAGGAAGAAATAAATACTTGATCTGTCATAATTTAATGTTTAAATATTTTCTCCTGGGCCGGACAAAGCTGTAGGACTGGCCGTGTTTGGCCCGCGGGGCTTAAGTTTGTATGAAGTATGTAGGAAKTATATTATTCTGTTGTTCAGAACGTTTCCACAGAATCTCAGTAAAAGGAATCAGAATTGGATCTAACACCAGGWCTTTAGAAAAACTAATAAACTTGCTCAATTTTATGAGTGGGTTAAAACTTTATCTCCTGCAAAACATCAGTGGTTAGAGTCAGAGCAGGTTTTTCTCCATTAATCTTACAAAAAAAATGACAAAGTTAAAAAAGCAACATAGCATGTCTTGCATACTTTAGTTTATATAACAAAGACTAGTGTTCTGTGTGATTCATACCTGTTTATGGTCGTGTTTAACGCCGACCGCACGCCCTAAAAGCAAACCTTTTTGCACCAGAGCAGAGATGTGTGTAAAGCGTCTTTTCAGTGAGTGATTGATGATGTGTGTTGTTGTGAAACGCTCAAGGAGCAGGGCCGCGCTACAGAGCTGCGCTGAAGCTGGGAGGAGAGACAGATTATTATGTTCATGGAGGAAAAAAAAGAATCCAACATCCGAGAAGGTGCAAGCTCAGACAGGCCACACGGCTCAACCATGACACAAACCAGCCTCCAACTGAAACAAAGAACCTTTAAGAAGAATAAAAAAAAGAGATCTGTCAACAAAATCCTTCCTGACGTGACTCTAATGAAGCCTGACCGTGAGTCGGTTGATTCGCTGAAAGCCTGGGCTCATTCCATAATCTCTCATTGTGCTTCATTTCCATGGAGATACTTAAATCACAACAGATGCTCACATCCAACTTGTCTTATCAAATGTGCCAGTTCACGACAATCAAATAAGTGCTAAAAAAAAGGGAATACCTGCTGCTGATGACCTGAGGAGGGAACATAAATCTAGCTGCAAAGATGCTACAATAAATTTGATAAGCTCCGAACTATTCTGCAAGCAGACGCATGAAAAAGGCACATTACATAAGAGCAATAACTCAGAGTGCCTGAGAGAGTTCGTCCAACAACAAAACAAGTCTGTACATTTTCTAATTATTGTGTCCGACCTGGACGGTTTGAACAGAGCCGCTCCGATGCAACGGTGGATTTAAAAAAGCCCAAGTAAATCATCGCGGCTCTACACGGAACATGTGATTTTCTGCATCAAATGAGGAGAGACGGGTTTTTTGATTTTTTTTTTCTTTTTAGAGCGCTGAAGAAAAATGGAGAAGAACGCTGCCGCTGCTGCTAACCATTGAGAAGTTCAGAGGTGGATGTAGTTTTACCTCTGGCAAGCTTTAAAGCAACAAGAGACGCTTAAAAGAGAGAGAGAGAGAGARAAAAAACAGCTTGTGACTGACAGCTGGCCATGTGCTGGAGTTCACGCAAAAAAAGGATCCGTTAAAACCACAGCTGGAGCCGCAGGCGCCCTCAAAGCTCAACACAGGCCAGAACTGAGAAATGGTGGCTTGATGAATCTGAACTCCTGCAGATTTAGGGATAACAATGTGACTCTAGAGAAGTCCAAAAACATAATAAAAAAAGAAGTCTAAGAGAAGTAAAGGTCGTGAAGACGAGACTTACTGTAGGAGAAGGTGAGACGTGGAGTGACATCATTTTCTGTGACGGCTGTATGAAGGTGAGCAACAAGAAGGAGACAGAGCCAAGCCATGCTCGTGGTCCACATGCCTCCACCTGCCAGCTCGCTCTATTCACCTTTCAGGTTTTTGTGGAAACTCATGGAGTTTTTTTTATTTATTTTAATTTAATTTTTTCTTAGGCCGAGACACTTTAAATGGAAGGCCAGAGAGTGAGCTGCTATGAGGTTAGAGCACTCCTTCGATGTGGCGACTCTGGAGAGAATCCGGGACCTCAGAGGGAACCAGAGAAACCCCTCCGGTCAGCCTCCATGTGTGGACYGACACCACAGGGTCTCAGCAGAAATCTGTGAAGAAAAAACATTATATTAGTTCAAAATGAGCTAAATGCATGGATTATTACAGCACTGGATATTAATTTGATTGTACAGGGGAAAAAATTAATCCATGTGAAGATTTCACTCGTTTTTGTGGAAAGTATTTAACATTTTTTATATTTAAAGAGGAGAACCCATAAACATTTTAACAGTATGTAAATTTGAATACTCCGGGAGGCTTCAAAGTCAGACATAAGTCCTGTGAGGTCACTGGTCACATCTACAGTATAACTCTTTATTCAGTTTTTTTAAACTGCTTTGCTTTCGTAGAGTGAGTAGATCTAAAAAATAGATCTTTCTTTCCTGACGACATATTAACACATTATTTTTGGCAAACATGCTAATATACTTGTTTTTATATCCTAAATAAAGTTTGTGCTTTTTTAGCCCAATGTCAGTCAAACTTAAGTGTAGTTTCCTGCACAAGAAGGAAGTATGTGCAAATCATTGYGATCACTTGCACTGTGAGATCAAATCTGGCCCACCACAGCATTTTATGTGGCCCGCGAGAGCTTCAAACATGCATTAATGTCATAAAATAAGAATGTTCTGCTTTAAAGTCAGCATTGATCTTAAATTACATCACCCGTATTGCATGTTGATCATTTTACCCACATAAAGAACTGCTTCCTACCACTAGGTGGAAGTGCACTGGGTTCAAGAGTAGCTGTTAGGTTAGCCGGTGAAAATGTGGCTAAATGTAGGTTGATGAGTTTTTGCTGTTTCTGGCTACTTTTGCACCCTGTGCACCTCCACATAGTGGTGGGATGAAATAATTTTGCATGTAAAATAATCTACATGCGATTTAGGAGATGTAGGTTACTTTAGCTGCAGCCCAGTTGTACTGRGAAGTGGGAATATCCCACTTACAAGTTGTAAATTTAAACTGGAAGGCCCAGTCAGTGTGAATACTCTATTGGATCTATAGTTCAGATTTCAAGATGGCAGCTACTCACCACAACTCCGCAACACTGCAAGTATTTAAACAGAAGTGCTGTCATCACAAACAATAAGAACGTTTTTATTTTCCATTCAGTGTCAAGACGAAGATCAAAAACCTCAACCGAAAAACCAGAAGATGTTTATTATTCCAGTAATGGAGTTTTTGGCCAATTCATTAAAGTCAGCTACCTAAACTTATTGAGGCGTAATGGGAAACTCAGTGGGGCGTCCCAAACGCTCCATTACTCTCACCACAAGACGCTCTTCGAAAGCAACTCACAGCAGATTTTGTTTCACGTGAGGTACCGGGATCGATAGCAGAAAGCAGTCAGTGAAGCTATTCCTGGTTTCCATCTGGGGGAATCTTGACTCTTAGTCAATGAGCAGTCGGACGCTCGTTACAGAGACCTCTCCCAATATGAGGGAGAAGGAAGGGGTTTGGACAGCACGGCTGTGGTGATGATCACTACTTCTGCAGCAGAGTGGCACACAACCAGGAGAAACTATAAGGGTCTGTTAGGACAGTCTTATTGRTAAATCTCCAGCTTTCAAAGGACTTTGGATAAATGCTGTTTGTGGAAGTTAATCAGCAGAGTGAAACRCATGAGAGACAAGCAGGACGACCAAAGGTGCATCATTACGGCCCTTTGTGTGGAAGAATTCATTGTAAAACACTTGAACTGCAAACCACAGAGACATCATTAAGCCTGGGTTTGTGCGACCCGCGATGAGGTGCGTCGAGAAACTCGGAGYGCGCGAGAACAAGGGCGCCTCAGACGGCAGAGGCATCTATATGCAGCGCCGCACCTCGCCGCTCGCTCCTGCATCACGCAGGAAACTGAATCATCCCTTTCAGCCTCCAACACAGACATGACAGTGTGCTCCTCTGTCTCCCTGCTTGTGATCTCCTCAGTCTGAAACTCTCTGCGTTACACTTTCACCCTCATCATCTCAACACAAACAGTTCAGTTGGACTGATTTACTCTATTATTTGGCAAAAAGGGAYATCAAATAAAGGCATTCTTTGATGGAAGCCATAGCTCCCGCCACCTTTGATGTCAAAGCTTTRGACTAAAATCAGCTGATGTTGAGTTATAGCCATTTTGGTCAACTCTGCGCTCAGTAAAACAGAATAAATTCGATCTATTTTTGTGTTTGCTAAGATCACTGTGCTGAATTGGCCATCCTTAATCCCGTTGACCCTAAAAATGATTGATGCACATTAAAAGATTATTTTGTGAGAGTTTTCCTCAAAATCTGATCCGTTGTTTATTTGATATTTTGCTAACATGGTTGACTTTAACAATTAATGTCAATATTTTTAAGGAAATATCTCACACAATGTGTAAAGATCTGGACATGAAATGTGAATTAGTCTCAGCTACTACCACACCAAATTTTTACTCAATATCTATAAAACAGACTGAGTTATCGCTGGTTTTTTATTTGCTAAGGTTGATTAGCTGTGGAGGTCACCTTAAATCATGTTGACTCCAAATGTTAATCAGTTGAAGATAGACACAAAATGATTAGTTTCTGCGATTTGCATTGAAATCTGATCAGTAGTTCATTAGATATTTTGCTAACAGACACACTTAGTTGGATCGAATGATTAATGCCAAAGTTTTAAGGAAATATCATGCACATTGTGCATGGATTAAATAAGAGATGTGGATGAGTCTCAGCTACTACCACACCAAATTTTAGCTCAATATCTGTAAAACTGACTAAGTTGTAGCTCTTTTTCTGTTTTATACAATTTATTAGCTATGGCGGTCATCCTGCATCATCTTGACTCCAAAAGGTAATCAGTTGTAGATGTAATTTCAATGATTACGTTCTGATAGTTTTATTAAAGTTGATCCACTGGTTCCTGAGACTTTTTGCTAACAGACACATATAAGCAAAGAGTTGCCTGCTTTTTTGCTTTACGGCAGCTGTCAATAATGATAAATCAATAGATTTGTTTTTTCTGAACAACTGAACGCACCTTATATTATTACTAAATTCCTGATGCACTGGTAAGTTTTAGCGCTCCTCTAATGCAACTCATCAGTTTGAGCTCAACAGACCATCAAATCACAGTAAAACTTAAAAAAAAAAGAAAGAACCCCGACAGTCCATAATTAGCTGAGGAGGGGCAAAGACCGTTAAACCAGGTAGGAAAATATTCTTCTGGGAACAGGATGGGAAATTGTCACAACAGAAGGAGTGATTTATTACCACATGTAGTTGAAATGACAGCAGAAAAAATGCAGAAAAAGCTCCATTTATGGTGATAAATTACTAAAACTGTGACAAAAAAGGACTTTGAACCTTTAAAATTGATCTCCCCCGTGCAATCAAAACTTTACTGCAACAGTAGAGTGTTTCACAAAAGAGGAAGTAACTTTTATATTTGACTAAACCGGGAATTTCCCATCATTCATGCCAGTTGTTTCCTGTAACAAAGCTGCTGGTATAAAACCACTATTTATATACATCTATATCACTGACTGACTCAACTGGCCCATGAAAGCCCCACTTCTAAGACCGAGGCTTTTATAAATAGCAGCTCTGCAGGAACAGGTGGTCCATCCATGAGCTTTTCCAGAGTTGTAGTGCAGGTCAGGGCCCCTGCAAGCCGAGCGCGGCTGATAAATATGATCTCCCAGCATGCTCTGTCTTTACACGAAGCCACCTGTACGCACACGGCACACCTATGTCCCGCCCCAGGTTACATGTTTCCACATGTAGCCTTCAACCCCCACCACGGTAAGCCCCTCCCACTTCGACCTCCTGACCTACTACACGTGACTGAGAGAAAAGTCGCTCCAGTTAGAGCCACTCGATGATTTCAGGAGTCAATTCAATTAAAATTGATCTCCCCGCTCTGACTTCCTGTTTGTGTAGCTAATTGTTTCTGAATGGATGCATGCTTTTCTCCAGTTTTACTGGCACAACACAACTTATGAACGGCTCTTTGAACAAACCTGCATCTACAGAGAGTCTCACTCAGTCTTCAAACTGTTTGTTTTATGTGAGACTGAAACCTCAAGTGGTAAAATAAAAAAACAAAGTCTTCTCTCCTGCTCTTCTTTTAGACAAACTTTAGAAACGCAACTTCATTTTTTGGGAATTTTTTTGGCACTGGATGATTTTTGCCTGCCGGAACGTTTTATTCTTAATTTTCAAAGCTGATTGTTAATATTACTGCTTACTGTTAAAAGATGAAGGCAGGCAATAATGTGTTTGCTCAATCTACAGCAGCGCTTTTCTAACTTTTATCCAGAAAACAGTTGTAGATACTTGTGATCCCAGGTAATACTAGTTTACATTATGCAAACTTTACTAATATCTCTGGTAAACAGTCAGTTTGACCTCCTCACATCACATCTAGCTGTGCAGTGTTGTTATTTTTATTTATTTTAATTTTTGTTTTCTTCTGCATTTTGTATGTTAAGTGTAAGTCGTGGATAAGTCTTATGTTAAACAGGTTCATTTGTTCAACTCGTTAGCAGTACAGTTAATTTTATCAGTGTATTTCAGCATGTTGGACACAAATTTCACACGCTGGCATAAGTTGTCTAAAACGTTTGTTTGACAGGACTTTTAGGAGTTTAAGATTTCACAACTGAGACTTCTCCAAAGTCAACAAAAAGACGTCTCGTTTCTACTTTTGYTTTAACTGTCATCCATTGTTACTGTCAGTTTCCTGCAATGTGTTTCCTTTTTCAAGGTGTCTGCAGTTACTCTCCGCAACAAGATCAGTAATTAAGCTCAAGTTCATGCAAAAAAATCTTCAATAATTCAGTATTTCAAAATACGTGATCATAATAAATATGTAACTGCACTTATTCTTTTAATCATGGATGAAGTTTTAGTCATCCAGCAGCGCACGGTTTGAAGCATTCGCCTTCGGATGTTGTAAAGCTCTCGATGAAAGCTACAAACTTAGCACTCAGTTGACAAATAACAGCTGCAGCAGAATTCATTCTCCAGTAAATGTTTAATAAAAAAAAATGCCTGCATGTCTGATTAGATGTCAA